AAATGGTTTTTAATAATGCAAATAGAATTACATTTACTGTTCTGTGACATGCTGTCTGAACTTAAGAGATATGTCTTTGTGAGTCAGGACAAATTTTAAATCAGTTTATGTAGACTGCATTCTTTTTTTCAATAGTACTTTGTTGAGGAATGATTTATATACAATAAATGCACATAAGTACAGCTTGAGGACTGTATATCCTCGTGTGACCACCATCCAGATCAATATGTAGAATTTCCACCTCCTCAGAAGGATTCGCTCATGCCCCTTCAAGTCAATACCACCGCCCACAGAAGTAACCACTACTCAGACTTCCAACACCAAGCATTAGTTTTCCTATGAAACTTCACATTCATGGACTCATATAGTAACTATTCTTCTGTGTCTGGATTCTTTCATGCCACAAAATACCTTTGAGATTCATCCATGTTTTTGCACATATCGGTAGTTTTGCGTTTTTTTGTTTTTGTTGCTGAGTGGTATTCCCACTACAATTGGGGTTGTTTTCAGTTTGGGGCTCTTGTGAATGAAGCTACTACGAACATTCTTTTAGAAACTTTTCTGTGGACATGTGCACTCGTTTCTCTTGAGAATATACTTATAATTGTTGGGTCATAGGTAGTGTATGTTTAACTTTATTAGAGACTACCAAGCATTTTTCCACAGAGACTAAACCATTTTATACTCCTACCAACAGTGTATGGAGTTCCAATTGTTCCAATCCTCGCCGGCACTTTGCACTGTCAGTCCTTTGTATTGTTAGCCATTCTGGTGGATGCATGCTGGTATCGCCTCACAATTTTAATTTGCATTTTCCTGATGACCAGTGATATTGAGCACTTTTTCACGTGCTTATTGGCCATTCCTATATCTTCTTTTATGAAGTGCCCATTCAAGAATTTTGCCCATTTTAAAATTGGGTTGCTCATCGTTTTGTTACCAATTTATAGAATTTTTAACATATAATGGATACCAGTCCTCTATCAGACACATGTATTGTGAATATTTTCAGTCTAGGGTTTGCTTTTCACATTAGTATCTGCCACATTCTTTTTAATGGATGCACATTTTTCCCACTGTAGTAGCAGTTTCTTAATTTATGTTACCATTATCTATTAATGGATATTTACACTCATAGGGAAAATTTTGTGCTTCAGTGGAAAACTGTACATTGTTTAGAGAACACTGCTCTTGGTTATCTGATTCTGATTTTCCATTCTATAAATTGTATATAACTGATAGCAATGCAAAATAATTCTTATCTATAGACGTGCAAATAAATTGTCTGGTGAAGATTCAATTGACTTTCCTCCCCAGTTATGGGAAAAGCCAATTTTTTCTTCATTTGCACTTTAATTTCAATATTTCTAATCTGTAAATGTGTCTGTTCTTTGGATTGTCCTTTAAAATGGTTGTGACATCTAACGAGTTCCCTCATTAGTAATGAGTTAATAAAATCTCTAACATGTCTTCCTTTTATATCTGTACATGAGGCATATTTTACCTTTTTAAAAATTATTCTTTAACACATTGTTTCTAATTTTTTATCCTGTTACAGAGGATGCTGCAACCCTTACTGCACATTTATCTCTGCATAGAAGTCTCAAGACTAAGAAGTCCTCATGCTCTCTCACACTCCAAATCAAACCAACTTTGAGGAATGGATTTAACAAGTTCAGCTACATGAAGGCACAGAAGACGAATAGACAGAACTTGTACCGTAACAAGGGGAAAGGTCAAATTAGGCTCAAACCAAAGAAATCAAACTAATGGTAGAATTTCAAGCATAGTAAGACAAGGTGAACGAGGAATGCCTTTGTTTATTGGGCACCTACTAATCCCAGACTACTATGTTAGGCACAGATGACACAACCTTTGCCATCAAGAAGTTCAGGAATTAGTGGTTTACAGGACTGTTATAAGAGGTAGGAAAGACAAGGTCAAAGACAGTGCCACCAAAGATCAAGGAAACAGACACTGGAGACCTCAGTTTGAAGCACCAAGGTGGAAAATTCTCACAAGATTACTGGGAAGCTGATGAAGAATCTCTGAAAACCCCCAACCCTACACTGACACGTCTGCAGCAGTGAAGTTTGTGATTCTCATGAGTTCTTCAGGAAGCTTCTGTAAATCTCAGTCTGCCCATATGTCCCAGTTGTGGAGAAAAACGGCTTCTTTTCTTCTACCTTCAAACTTCAGGCCAGTTCCTCTCATCAACAAACTCTAAACCAGAACTATACTGAGACAGGGGTTCTGGGAAATGTGGTTCTCAGCTTCTCTTCTGCAAAGCAGAGATTCTAGAAGGGGGAGGTGGTGATGCTGAGTTGAGACCTGGCACACAGCTGGGGCTCACTACGTGGTGACCATCACCCCTGCCGTCCATGAAGTGGCAGGGACACTGAGCAAGTGTTCAACTTCCCAGCATTTGAAAGTACAGCTGACCCTTGGACAACCCAAGTCTGAGCTGTGTGGGTCCACTTATGCGTGGATTTTTCCCAATAGTAAATACTACAATACTACACAATCCACGGTTGGTTGAATCCGCAGATACGATACCTCAGATTTGGAGGAACTGCATGTACAAAGGAACCAGGTATACGGAGAGAGCCAACTATAAATTATACATGGGTTTTTAACTTTGCAGAGGGTCAGAGCCCCTAACCCCCAGTTGTTCAAGGGTCAACTGTACCATTTTTCTTGTAGGATTTCTGTCCATTGATTGTCCAGTCTCCCCTTTCCCCTACTTCATTGTGCAGGGGCCAAACAAGGACTCTGCAGTCACAATCCTGGAAGGCAACTGCTGAATAATTCAGTAGTATTGAAAAATACAGGCAAGGATTTACAGGTTTGTACTAACAACCCTAGCATAAAAGTGAGACTTGAGGTCTAGCCCTGGCTTTGGCACTAGCAGCTCTATGATTTGGGTAAAACCACTGAACCTTCTTATAACTGTTTCACTGAAAAATTCAAAAGGCTGTGATACTGAGAAGAGCACATCATGTCTGGGGTGTTCTTCCCAAGAATGCATAACCTCAGTCCAATCATGAGAACACATCAGACAAACTCAAACTGAGGGACATTCTACAAAATGACTGACCAGTACTCCTCAAAAGTGTCATGGTCAGGAAGAACAGAAAGACTGAGAACTGCCACAGATGGGAGGAGACTAAGGAGACATGAGAATTAAATAAAATTTTTAAAAAGTCAATCTTGGATTGACTCCTGGAAGCAAAAAAGAATTTTAACGGAAAACCTGGTGAAATACAAATAAAGTCTGGAGTTAATAGCATTGTACCAATGTTAATTTGTGAGTTTTGATAATTGTATCACATTTACGTAAGCTGTTAACATTAGGGGAAGCTGGGTGAAGGGTGTATGGAAACTCTCTGTACTATTTTTGCAACTCTTCTGTAAATCCAAAATTATCCCAAAATAAAATGTTAAAAATTAAAACCGTGCTATTTAAATGGTATCAAAATTGAATTCATCATTTTGTATTGGGCCCTGCGAATTATGTAGCTGGTCCTGCATGGAAGTGTTACCAAAGCTGTTGCCCCAGAAACAAGTAAACTTGCAGAAAAGCATATCCTCTAGCTGTGTTCACAGGACAGGAACAAGAGAGTCCATCCACAAGAAAACTGGTGAAACTTATTCAGCTTCAAAAGTGGGACAAAGGTTGCCCTGCAGCTCATTAGCATCTCATTGTAATCTTAAGATCTCTGCCTGTCCTCACCATGATGGTTTGACCTGCTTCAGACCCAAATGCCAAAGGACCATACAAGGGCAGAAAAGAGGTGGCACCCCAGTTCCAGGAAGAACCCCACCTATTCCCAGAAAAATCAAGGTATATGACTCCCTCTCATTAACCTTGCCCTTAAAATCTTGTCTTAACCATCACCCAGGTGAGAAGTTGATTGGCGACCTAAGTTCCCGCTTCTCCATCCTCAGGCCACTGAATTATGTTTGCCCTCAAGCATAGTTGCCCTCAGCTTCGATCTCAGCTTGGGTTTAGTTTTTGGCTGTCAGAACCTGAACAGAAAAAGAAACTTCTCCCTGAGGCAGGGGGGCTTTGGCCGGGCTAGGGCCCAAGTGGGGGTCCAGACGACCTAATTCGGTAACAGAAATATATGGAAAACTGGGTAAAACCCGTTTCCCGTGATGCAAAATAATGAAGCGGCAACAAAACAATTCCCATGAGCTCCCGGGGAACCTGGAAGGAGCAGAGATAAGAGCTGCTCCATCTGACGGGTCTTGTGGACAGAAATGAGGATGGTTCTGAGCCAACGACTAAGGAGCAGATGGGACAAATAACTATCTCAGCTGATGGCTAAGAAAAATGACCAGAAACTGATTCTGAAACCCTCCCCCCAGCCTTGGCACTGTGTAAAACCCCCTACAACATAGGAGCAATTCTGATGAAAACCCCTGCCAGCTGGTATTCTCCCAAACCTGTCTCCGTTCACGTCCTCGGTTCTCTCCTTGTAGTTCTGGGAAACTCACAAGCCTTGTGTGACTAAGGCTAAGTTTCCACTCCAGCACGTGGAGGCTGAAATCGGAGACTAAGGGTGACGTCACCAAGTTGGCGTCACACGTCACTCCGACTTCGCTCACCCTCTCAGGAACAACCAACGACCATTGGTTAACCGGACACCACTGAGAGCAGCCTAGAACGCGGGGGTGAGGCGGAAGCACCCTCTGCACAGCAGAGACCAAGACAGACGGCATAGAAAGGTCAGAGAAGCGGCTACACACACCACACTGCCCCTCCCCCAGGCCAGCGCAGCCCCACACGGTCGTCTCCCCTGAGCCTCCGGGTCCTCCAGTGCGAAAAGGGCGTGCTTGGGGGGAGAAGCCAGCTCGCCCAGCACTGTGGGTCACTGTGTGGGAGCCCCTACTCCAGTCTCGCCCCACAGGGCTTGCCCAGTGGGAACCTGCCTGTGACCGAGAAGGGGCCGAGGGACTGGCAACAACCAGCACTTGGACCTGGGCTGAGTTCGTACCTGCAGCGCCCGAGCAGTAGTCCCAAGCAGCCGCTCTGCTCAGCTGCCGCACTCTGACCGGGGAACTCGGTGGGACCCTTAAACGAGGATTTCTGCTGGCCCTAGAGCGTGACTTGCCCACCCAGGCAAGGAGCTGAGGAGAGCGTCTCCCGACGCCGTCTCACCAGTAGAGCGGACACCTGGAAGCTGCGCAGCCAACAGCGCGGGAGCTGAGAGGTGGGTGGGCGGGGCTGACAGCCTCCCGAGAAAAGCCGGAATCGCGTGGACGGTTCACGTGCTACCGCCCAAGTGGGGGTAATTAATTCAGAGCCGAGGCTGAGAGTAGTTGCCGACCCACCCTGCTTGGAAAGCCTGGCGTTACGCAACCCGGTCCTGCTAAGGCAAGTGAGCTAAAACAGAGCCCTGCCCACTGTGACTCCCGAGGGTGGGGCGGGGCGATTGGCCCAAAGGGGCTGGAAAGATTACCTGAAAGCTGTGTAACCAAAATAGAAATTAAGTTGTTATAGAAAAATAATGTTTCTTGCCCACCTGTGTTGGTGTCCTGAGATTTAAACCTGTCATCCGTCAATCTTTCAGATTAATTTTGCTAATTATTTGAGATTACCAATTATTCCATCTCAAAGTGGATGAGCAGATTTTTTTTTATCATGGTGAAAAAATTCATGCACATTTAACGTATTAAAATAAGTTAGGGTGAAGGAAGGAGTGACAAGTGTTTTTAGTCCTACACAAGAGTGAATGTGGTTAGACTGCTACTGTTGCAGAATGCTGCAAAGATAATACTTTACTCGATGTGGATATGGGCTATAAAGAAAGGCGAAAACCAGAGCTGAATATCAAAGCCTTGCTGACCAAAATTAAAATACTGGCATATATTTAAATAAATATTAAAGTATAAAATAATATGCTTTAGTAACACTTATGTTTTACCCACGAAGGACAAAACACTTCCAAAGTTTTCAACATCCTTTCAATTATATCCACAATTATCATTACTGGGTTAAACTATTTCTGTTTTGCTTATCAAGCAAGAAAGCAAACATTCTCACTGTGCCACATTTATGAAACTGGCTGGAAAATGTTATCATTAAATTAAAACCACTATGGATGACATTAGTAAAAGTTCTATAAAATTACTACATTAAAAAAAGCGTCTGTATTAAGAATATTTTAAATGTTTATTCATTGTATTTATTTGGAAAACAAAATATATTAACGATAAATTTATCAAAAACAAGTCTTATGAGCAGACATTTAAAGTCTTTAACGTTGGACTGATACAATAACAAAACTGACCTGTGAAATTTTGTAGATAGAAAAGGTCTAATTTAGTTTAAATAAGATCTGAAACACCTTTATGAAACTTATTTTGCTCAGTGTGATTTTAAAGAAGTTATGTGTATATTACTATGACTCAAACTGTGGGGACGGTTTTAAACACTTAAAAAAAAAATAAAGTGCATTCTAAACTGTGCTATCCAGTATAGTAGCCACTATTTACATGTGACTTTAAATTTTAATTAGCTAAAATGAGATATAATTTAAAATCTAATTCCTCCATCTAATTAGCCACATCTCAAGTGCTCAAAAGCCACACGTGGCTAGCTATTACCATATTGGACAATGTAAAATTATAGAATATTACCAACATAATGGAAAGTTCTATTGGACAGGGCTGGTCAAATAACATATAAGCAACCACCATAATAAAGTTAATCATATAAATCTTGAAAAACTTCTGTAAATATGAAGTTTTTGTTTTTGTAATTTTGCTTCTAATCCAGGGAATCTTTCAGATACCATAAAATACAAATCAAATTTGAAATCTGCATATACAATTTGAAATTTAATCTTGCCTAGGATATAAATTTACTTTTCTATATTAACTCTATTACTACTAGTTTGTAAAATATTTTGTGAAACTGAATGGTGAAGCCAAAGACTAATTTAGATGAATTAATCTGAAGTTAAAAGTCTGGAAGACTTTTTGGCTTCAGTTATCTTCTCCTTAAGACCACTGTAGGCATAGCCTAAACATATAAAGATATGCATAGAAATACTATAGTTTTATTAAACTAAAGGCAACTAATAGCAAATTATTTATTTGAAGAACAGAGTCTTAAAATTATATCTTATCTTTATAAAACTATATTATACTTCACTAAAATACTTAAAGTTGAATTTAATTTTCAAAAGATATATCATATGAAAATATGTATCTATTCTACCAACTGATCACATAAAACCATCTTAAACTATCTCACAAGTCACAAAAATAACAAGACTTCACACAAACTATCCTGTTTGACCTACTTATTACTTTCTGTTGAAATTCTTCTTTGCCTTATTAAAAAACAGAATTTAATTAATGTCTATTATCTAAGACAAAGCCATGGGTCACAAGCAAATGGCCATAACTAAAGATTGAACTCTTACAAGGAGAAAATTTGCTCTTTGAACAATAACAAGGAACACTATAAAACAGATGTAACTGAGGACTGTTCAACAGGTTGAAAGCTGAAAGATGGCATTGTAACTGACAAAATGTTTCTTAAACACAAATGATCAAAAAATGAAATTATATAATATTTCCTATGGCTGAAACATTCAAGAACTTTAAAATAAAGTGCTTAAGTTAAAAATAAAATCCTAGTAAACAACAAGGATTTACTGTACAGCACAGGGAATATCTTGTGATAACCTATAATGGAAAAGAATCTGAAAAAGAATACATACGTATGTATAACTGAATCATCTTGCCATACACTAGAATCTAACACAACACTGTAAATCAACTACACTTCAATAAAAAAAAAAAATTCCTAGGAAGGGAGTAAGCAGAAAGCCTTCATGGAGGAAGTGGCATTCAGTGTGAGGATTCAGATGTGACAGTAGGCAGGGGAGGCAGGAGTGGCCAGGCTGGGGAGCCAGTGGATTGCACCCTGAGTATTAAAAAAAAAAATTTATGAGCAAAATGGAATAACTTTTTAATTCTCCAGTAATCCCACCAATATCCTTTAAGATAATTTTTTTCTAATTGAATTCCTGATAAAATTTTTTTTCATTTAAACTTTGTAAAATTTAAACTTGTATGCATTTCAACTAGAATTAATCATAAAACACAGTAAACATATTAAAACCTTTATGCAGACATTTCAGAAACCAAAAAAAACAGCGTCTAAATCTTGTCAGATTCTTTATATTCATAATGATATATTCTTTTTTTAAATTTTTTAATTTTTTTTTCTTTATACAGCAGGTTATTAGTCATCAATTTTATACATATCAGTGTATACATGTCAATCCCAATTGCCCAATTCATCACACCCCCACCCCCACCCCACCCGCTGCTGCTTTCCCCGCTTGGTGTCCTTATGTTTGTTCTCTACATCTGTGTCTCAATTTCTCACCTGCAAACAGGTTCATCTGTACCATTTTTCTAGGTTCCATATATATGCGTTAATATATGATATTTGTTTTTCTCTTTCTGACTTACTTCACTCTGTATGACAGTCTCTAGATCCAACCACGTCTCAACAAATGACCCAATTTTGTTCCTTTTTATGGCTGACTAATATTCCATTGTATATATGCACCACATCTTCTTTATCCATTTGTCTATCGATGGGCATTTAGCTTGCTTCCATGACCTGGCTATTGTAAATAGTGCTGCAATGAACATTGGGGGGCATGTGTCTTTTTTTTTTTAACATCTTTATTGGAGTATAATTGCTTTACAGTGGTGTGTTGGTTTCTGCTTTATAACAAAGTGAATCAGTTATACATATATATATGTTCCCATATCTCTTCCCTCTTGCGTCTCCCTCCCTCCCACCCTCCCTATCCCACCCCTCCAGGCGGTCACAAAGCACCGAGCTGATCTCCCTGTGCTATGCGGCTGCTTCCCACTAGCTATCTACCTTACATTTGGTAGTGCATATATGTCCATGCCTCTCTCTCGCTTTGTCACAGCTCACCCTTCCCCCTCCCCATATCCTCAAGTCCGTTCTCTAGTAGGTCTGTGTCTTTATTCCTGTCTTACCCCAAGGTTCTTCATGACATTTTTTTCCTTAAATTCCATACATATGTGTTAGCATACGGTATTTGTCTTTCTCTTCCTGACTTACTTCACTCTGTATGACAGACTCTAGGTCTATCCACCTCATTACAAATAGCTCAATTTCGTTTCTTTTTATGGCTGAGTAATATTCCATTGTATATATGTGCCACATCTTCTTTATCCATTCATCTGATGATGGACACTTAGGTTGTTTCCATCTCCGGGCTATTGTAAATAGAGCTGCAATGAACATTTTGGTACATGACTCTTTGTGAATTATGGTTTTCTCAGGGTATACGCCCAGTAGTGGGATTGCTGGGTCATATGGTAGTTCTATTTGTAGTTTTTTAAGGAACCTCCATACTGTTCTCCATAGTGGCTGTACCAATTCACATTCCCACCAGCAGTGCAAGAGTGTTCCCTTTTTTCCACACCCTCTCGAGCATTTATTGTTTCTAGATTTTTTGATGATGGATATATTCTTAAATTTAAATTACTTCAATGGAACCAGAAAGTCTGCTAATATGATTTTCTATGTTGACTCTTAGCAAACTTCGGTGATAAAATATTATCAGGAGTTAATTAAAAGAATTCTGTTCTTATCAGAAGTAGATCAAAAGAACATAGGTCTCATCTCTGGAAAGCTTATGTTAAACAATATTATGTCAATCCTATGAATCCCCTACTGATGGATGTATAAGAAAGCCAGGTGGCATGGACATATATACACTACCAAATGTAAAACTGAGAGCTAGTGGGAAGCAGCCGCATAGCACAGGGAGATCAGCTGGGTGCTTTGTGACCACCTAGAGGGGTAGGATAGGGAGGGTGGGAGGGAGGGAGACGCAAGAGGGAAGAGATATGGGGATATATGTATACGTATAGCTGATTCACTTTTTTATAAAGCAGAAACTAAATGGCAAAGCAAGTATACTACAATAAAGATGTTAATAAAAAAAAAAAAGCCAGCACGCATGTTTTGGTTATATGTAAACCATACCACCCTTCTGAATCAGTGTAGCTTAACCTAAGCTCTGCACTGCAGATTCACTTGACATATTGAGTGTCTATTACCTGCAAGTTCCTATGCTTGGAATTATGATTTGCCTATCCAACTGTGGCTCTCTACATCACTACCTGTATCTGTATCACTGACACTCAGATTTCATCTGTCATTAACAGCTAAATGTACTATTCTTATTCTACATTAAAACAGCAATAAAAATGATCTTTAGGAGTTTACAACCATTCCTTTTTTCAGAGGTTCTTACTGCAATATTGCCCATCACTTTATTCATGAGATGAAACACATCTTCATAATGCAATTGTGCCTCCCTTGTGGGCAAACAAAGAACATAGGTTATTTCTTTAGGTGTGAATGCTGAACTACAATGCCACTACATCAGGCTAATTTTTGAATTAATAACTTGAGAAACTTAAAGGATGGTACAATAGTGAAAAAAAAAAGTTGGATGACTGACATTCAAGTACTTCAGTCAGCTAAGCCAGTATCTCTTGGCTCTGACTCTGTCGAAGGAGTCGTTTCTGGAGGCGGCTGTGATTTGGATGTGGACTTCTTGTGGTCATATCTAAGACTACAAATACAACTATTGATAGCTGTCACACAGAATTTCCAGTCATATCCAGTTTCTGAAAGATCACAAGTCGGGTAGATGTCTTGGAGAAACTCTGGTGGTAAAGTCCAAAAATGTAACAGTTAATTAGAAATCACTTCTCAGAGAAATGAATTTATTCAACCTTAGTACTATTGCTATGTCTGTGAAAGGGTCATTAAGACTTTAATTAATTAAAACACATGGACTGTAGCTATTATTAAATTAGCTGAACAAATCTTTTCATCAGAAAGGATAGTAATATGAAATAGCACCATTCTTAAATCACACAAAAAACACCAAAATACCCCATGATCTGGTTATGTAGCAAGGTCTGCTCTCTTTAGTACCCAACATAAACTTTTCTTATTCTTAAATTTATTAAACACGCATCTAGTATGTTATTCATTATATCAAATAGAGACATGCTAATAAGGTTCTAGTACACTAGAGGCTGCAGTGTCTTTCATACTTTTAGAGGCAAAAAGCTATAACTGCTAAATTTTTTGGCACTGCTTGGTTTATCTCAGACAAAAGGAATGAGAGTCTTTAGATCTTGCAGTTAAATGAAAACTTCTATAACAGAGCAACATAGCTCAAGGAGCACTCAGAGAAAGTGGGAGGACAAAGGGAAAGGTGGGGAAGAAGGTGCTAACTAGAAGAGCAGAGCTACTCTTGGATACTTTCTTAGGTAATTTCCTAAGTACCTTTGAGCTCTTAGAAAAGGATCTGGCAATCACTACAGGCCAGCATTAGTTGGCTACATTAATGTCATTTGTTTTTTGATAGGATTAATTGGCTAGGAAATCAGGACAATGCCATAAACCGAGCATATATCTAAATTTTAGCAAGTCATGTGACAAAGTTAAAAAGCTTTCATACTCAAAGGTCTAACAGATCAGTGGTAGCCTGGAAGGAGGCTTTTAGTCATATGTCACTGGATTCAGTATCAAGCTCTATCCTGCTGTGCATTTTTATTAACAAAAAAGTTATGGAAAGCAGGCTTGCCCCATCTCCCAATGACAGCAAAGCTGGGACAGATAACTAACAGACTGGAAGACAAGTACCTGTAAAGCTTTCAATAGACTGCAACAAGGAACCTAAATTGGTTGGTGTTTCCTAAAATGTATTCTCTGAAACACTAGTCATAAAAGAAGTTTATTGGGGGGGGAAGATTCTGGTTGTGCAAATAAGAAATGCTTAACTCCAGAGTTAGTCTCCACTGAAAAATCCCACAGTAAAGAGATATGCTGGGGACTTCCCTGGTGGTGCAGTGGTTAAGAATCTGCCTGCCAACGCAGGGAACATGGGTTTGAGCCCTGGTCTGGGAAGATCCCACATGGTGTGGAGCAACTAAGCACATGCGCCACAACTACTGAGCCTGCGCTCTAGAGCCCGCGAGCCAAAGCTACTGAGCCCACACGCCACAACTACTGAAGCCCGCACGCCTAGAGCCAGAGCTCCGCAACAAGGGAAGCCACTGTAATGAGAAGCCCCCACAATGAGAAGCCTGTGCACCACAACGGAGAGCAGCCCCCGCTCGCCACAACTAGAGAAAGCCCGCGTGTGGCAGCGAAGGCCCAACACAGCCAAAAATTAATTAATTAATTAATTATTTTAAAAATGAGAGACGTGCTGAATCAAAGGTGACAGATGCAGATTTGGTGAGGCACATAAATAAGGGAGGTGGCAACACATAAGGCAACAGAGGGTCAAGACCATGGAGATCTAGGCAGGCTGGATAGCTAAAGGCATTCAAAACATGTTTTAAAACAGAGTCAAATGAAGCAGATCTATGGACTGAGGCCCTTGGGGTGCCAGATCAAGATCTTTCCTAGCCATTTGACTAAAAAGCACTTTATTCAGGAAGAACCTATTAATATTCAGCTGTCTTTAAGAAACACAGTTTGGGGAATGCTGCTCTACACTAACAGGATAAAATGCAGGAGGAATAAATATCAAATCCTACATTTACATTAAAAAAATACTAACAGTATAAACAGGAACAGCCTAAATACTAACAATAGAAGTACTGGATAGTAAAGCACTATAGACTTTAAAGAATCTTTCCTTTAAAAAAAGTTAATAAAATAAAATAAAAAGTATTGGATAAATGTCAGTATATAGAAAAAAAAGATCTAGGGGTTTAGACAACCATAAATTTTTAAATGGCAAGTGCCATTTTAGGCTGCATTAACAGCCTTGTAGGTAATAGTACTATTGCATTCTGGGTTAACTTGAGCACATATGAAGTTAGTCACTGAACGAGATCATGAAAGATTAGGACAATATTTATATGAGGAATTACTGAACAAAATGGAGATATTTAACTGTAAAAGTTTAAGACTTTGTGGGGAAAAGCTAGGAATAACACTTATTCTCCAATCCTCAAACACTTATTCTCCAATCCTCAAACACTTAGTCTCTAATCCTCACACTTCCATGTAGAGGGATCTCTAAATGGGAACGTTTAGAAGAACTGGGCATGTATGATTCAAAAATAAAGCTGATATTTTAATCTCCACCTGCCAGATTCTAGTGGCTGTCACTCACTTGGTTCTGAACTTGAAAGTGGGAGGAGAGGGTATATCTATTCTCTCCTAATGCATACAGCAGGAAGTGATAGCTGTCTTTAAATACTTGAAGGCCTATCATGTGAAAAGTGATTATATCCACCCAATTTAGCTCTAGAAGGAATAACTAGGACAAATGTGCATTACTCGCAGGGAGGTAAATTTTGAGTCACTTGGAAGAAGAACTTTCTCATGAATTAGAACCCTTTTAAAATGTAGTGGACTGCCATCAACAGAAGTGTTCAAGCCAAGGGGAGGCAACTATATGCCAAAGCTGAGATGGGAACTCCTGCTCTGGGTGAGAAGCTGTATTAGAGGACCTAATGTACTCCCTATTGCTAAGACTTTACAGTTCTGTTATGTTCAGAAATGGATGGGACGGGGCAGGAGTAAGGGTTGCCTGCTGATTGCAAATCTGCAGCCTTCTAACTTTCTCCATATGGACCATTCTTTAAAGAGACCTTAAGTGATAACTGAACTCTCAGAGAGCATCACGTAACAGTTTCTTAGGTGAAATCAATACCTTTGGCTACTGGACATATTTACCTTTGCCTATTAATTTCCAGAAGAGTTCCCCCAAAATAATAAAATCTTAGGATAAGAAGTGATATTAGAATAGAAGAATAATCTGGTTTACCAACTGCTGATACCAATCAGCAATCAGCAGTTAAAATACATGAGTTAGATCTCAAAAACATAACGTTGGGTGATAACAAAATTTAAAAAGGATATGTACTATATATTCCCATTTATGTACATTAAAACAACTACAAAACAATATTACATATCAACAGAGGTAGCAAAAGTATAAAATATGCATGGGAATGATATATCCACCTCCAAGACTGTGATTACTTTTGGGGAGAAAGACAGGGGAAACAGATGACGGGATGGAGTTTTAATGTTATCAGTAATGATTTATTATTTTAAAAAACCTAGAGCACAAAAAGCAAAATATATCTATACTGGGTAGACAGGTGTTAATTTATTACTATATTATTTTCTATATATTTCTGTATGTTTTAAATAGTTGATACTGAACCAATACTTCTAAAGATGTTATGTTAGAGCCCATAAAGCCTAGTTCTCTTACTAGTGCAGGAATCTCCTCACATCTCTGGTCATTCAGCAGTTACTCTGAGCCTTTTCATTCTCCAAATTCATCGTGTCCTCATATTAAAGTAAAATATGCTTTCTTGTCAGCTTCTCCTCCCTGGGCCTGGCTCTGCCCCCCAGGACAATGATGATTCTACTGCATTCTCTCTGCTGAAATGACTTACATGGCTGCCCTTCTACAAAGGAGTAGAACTTTGAGTCTTATGGGAAATTTGTTAAAATATGCCCTAAGTGGATAGTATGTCAAACTCATGCTGAATATTTTTCACGACAAAAGACATCTTCTTGATTTGTAATATAATTCATTAAGGGATAAAACAAAACAAAATACACAGAATAATATTTTTAGTCCACTTTTAAGGAACTAATCTATTCCAGACATTAAAGAACTCTAAAAGTCACCTTCTACCTCTCATTTAAAAAAATTTTTTTAAATTAGAAAGACATTATTTCTTCTATAAACACCTTCATTTCTAAACTGGTTACAAACTCTGTGTTCTTTTCTTACTATAAGGTAAGAGGAATTAGGTTGTGGTTTTTTGCATGATGGGTTAGTTCAGTGATGTTCAAGTTGCAAATTATGACCAATTACTAGGTCATGAAATTAGTGATGGCAGCACTTAAAAAAAAGTAATAGAAAACATTGGAATGTAATTCTCATAGGAAGAGTAAGAACTGTTTGTGAAATTTTTGCTTCAGTTTTTTAAAAATCACACACATACTCAGTCACAATGTAAAATATATTTCTTACTATGGGTTGCAGGTAAAAAAAAAATGGAAACCATTTGGATTAGATGATAGCAAATGCTTATGAAAGGTGCTATGAGCCAGATTTCTTTAGTTTAGTGTGAAACACAAGTGTTCTTCAAATCTGATGGATGTGAAACGTGTGATATGAAGGGAGGAACCTGCCAACTGAGATTGGGCCGGGGCTCAGAACTATATCTTTACTGGGTACCAGTGACACAAGTAAGAAATATTCTGCTTCCTGCTTGGTCTAAATTTAAAATTTCACAGAATTGCTTCTGGAAGCTTTATTATTTCATCTATTTACGTTGTAAATAAAGACTACACTATGCTCATGTGCACAAGGAAAAACTAGCAAATTAAACCTGCTGTGCTATTGTTGACACTTCTGCAAATTGACAAAGCCCAGCAGCTTCGACCTTGAAATGAAGGTGTTTGAGTTTCCATACATCTGGCAATTCATACCAGGAGCCACAGTCAATAATGCCTTTCCTGTTCTAATAAAGCTGCTCAAGACAGAGCAATTAGCTCTGAGAACCCAAATGCGAAAAGAAACACATTCATGAACCTGCTGCTGTTATACCCAAATGAGGGAATTAGTAAAAGATCTCCCTCTCTTCAAAATACACATAAACTGAATGAAGTTTTCTTTCTGTCCTTCTCTAACACACTTTGCTTCCATTTATTCTCACATACTCAACATGTAACATACCTCGGAGAGCGTTAATCTTATTGGCGTTAAGGGCGCACGTGCCACGCCCCAGACTGCCATAGACATTACTTTTTATCAGGACTTCCTCTGTGAACAGGTTGCAAATAAGGTATCTGGCTGACAGCTCTGGGAGAGACTTTTCTTTTGCTATATTCAGAACTGATTTTGGCATCTGTATATTTCTACACGGATTTCCAAGATATTCTAGAAGCAAAAGAGAAAGAAGATGTCAATTTTCATGGCAAATGTTAGGTTCAAGTTTTTAAAAGGCTGTAACAGAAAAGTTGACTTTTCTGAATTTTTAGGCTCAAGAATTTGAGAGGTTAAAAAAATTAAAGCTTTAAGTTTTTAGTGTATCACGAGACAGCATGAGAAATGAGACAGGAATCACTTCTGATGTAATTACACATGCTCTGATTGTTCAAGAGGACAATTCAGTATTCTGCTACCTTTTAGGATACAATCAGTTTTAACATTACATTTGGTAGCAAATTCTAAGTAGCTTTCTTAAAATTAATTTTTATTGTATCAAAAACTCTAAGTAGTTTTAATGAATTGTTTTCCTACTTATAGAAAAGGCTTTTTCAAAATTAAAAACCATGATTCTTACTAAAATATTTATAATTTTTAAAATGTAGGTTTTTTATTTGGTATTAAACTCATCATTTAAAAATCAACAAACTCATCTTAAAATATCATATTTTAGATAACCTACTTGAACTGAAAAACAAATTTTAAGCCTGTTTTTATTTCTCAACTCTACAGCCTAATCATCACCATCTCTCTTCAGTCCATAGTGATTCAAATTAACCATACTTAAAAAATATTATATTGTACATATAACAAAGACTTATGTAAGAAAATATATTAGACAAATATGATATGATTCTTACAAGTTAATAAACATATTTTTCATCTTGGAACATCCATCATTTAATGGGCAAGAGTATAAATTGTTGAATCACCCAGATCCAACATTTAGCAAGAGAGATTAAATTATTTTAAAAATTCACTCAGTGGGTCCAAAGACTTAACATCTATAAGATTCATCTAGCAGTATTTATCAAGAGTCAGAAAAAAAGGTAAATACTCTTTAAGCTGGTAAGTCGAATTTCTCCAAAGAAGATATACAGACTGCCAACAAACACATGAAAGAATGCTCAACATCATTAATCATTAGAGAAATGCAAATCAAAACTACAATGAGATATCATCTCACACCAGTCAGAATGGCCATCAACAAAAAATCTAGAAACAAATGCTCGAGAGGGTGTGGAGAAAAGGGAACACTCTTGCACTGCTGGTGGGAATGTGAATTGGTAAAGCCACTATGGAGAACAGTATGGAGGTTCCTTAAAAAACTACAAATAGAACTACCATATGACCCAGCAATCCCACTACTGGGCATATACCCTAAT